ATATATATGTTAAATATTTTGAAAACGTGTTAAAGAAAAGGAAAATTTGAGTCCTAGGCATAATGTTTAATTTCTAGGCTTTGTACAGTTGCCATTCTTTGCTAAAGGACCCCTTCCAGCTGGAGAGGCTGGATACAGAAAAGACCATAGCTGTAGGAGCCAAGAACTGATGTCCTGTCAAATGGCACCCCTTGTTCAGAGATGAATTTAGTTAGAGACTAAGGGAAGCTTGGTGAAATGCCAGGAATCTGTAATGCTAGTTGGATACTCACTGAGCACCCTCATTAACCTTCTAAGGGACCTTTTAGAATGTAGAAGATCTAATCAGAACAACTTTCCCTTAATAGAACTACTTTCCCTTAACCCATCCTACATAGAACTGATTCAGCAAGCAACTGGAAGGCTAGGGGAAAGGCATGGTTTGTTGTGTGAATGTCACTTTTATTTTTCTCACAATTTCATAGCTGTGACAGAATGGTTATATTTTAGGAAAAGAAGTGGAGTAATTTTTGAAATCAGTATATCTTACAGTAAAAGTATTGACCTAAGCGAGGCATGATGATACCCACCTGTAATCAATCTCAGCATTCTGGTAGGCTCCGGCAAGAGAAATTGCTAAATTTGAATCTAGTTTGGGCAACTGAGTGACTTTGTAAGATCCTGTCTCAAAATAAAAATTTCAAAAGGGTTGGAGATGTAGCCCAGTGCCAAGGTTCTGGGTTCAGTCCCCAGTACTACAAAAAAATTGGTATTTCTAACCTACCAATTTTAGCTGTTTAATGTGGCATGACCCTGCTCAAATAATAGGCATTTTTAAACCTGTGACCCAGGTTAGGGAAGTTGAAAACATTATTGTTGGACAAGGGAGGGGTTACTGGTTGTTAAACAGAGCTAGTTTGGCCTTAGTCTTGATGCTGATGGTTTATGTAGTATTCCCCAACTTACACATACTTGTCCGGTGTCCTGGAGTTAAAAAATGTTAAGTCAGTGGCTGTCAGCAAAGGTGCATTGGAGTTCTTGTTAAAAGTGTAGATTCCGCAACCTCACTTTTAGACATTCTAAATGAGTCTGATGAGATTCAGGAGTATCCATTTTAACATATCTGCCCTGCCCATTCGGGTGAACTGCTACATAAATATTTTTCAAGTTATTATTGATAGGATCAATGTCATAATCAAATAAACCGTTTTTCTTTATTTCTTACTTATCTTAAAGGTAAAACATATCTGCAAATCCATCATTTTTCTTTATAGGCTGTCTCTTTTCCAAAGATGATATTGTACGGTTCTGGAGAGGTTGTTATAAGTAGTGATTCCCTTTGCTGGTAGTACTGCAAAACATATGCTGTACCAGTTAAGAGCCACCAAAATGATTTAAAGCAGTGAAGGTAATCAGATGCAGTATTTGTCACTGTGGAGTGGAGAATGGCCTAGAGGTGGCAGGAGGGTGACTGGAGAGAGCAAGCAGCCTTATTCTACAGCGCAGTTTCTGTGTCAGTAGAGTACAGTTGTTATTAGAAGCAGAGCTCAAAAGCAAGGGAAGAAATTGAAGACTGCACTAGAAGATGGAAAAACCTCCCATGTTTATGGATCAGCAGAATTAATACAGTATTGTTAAACTGACCTCACTACTGAAAACAGTCTATAAATTCAGTGCAGTCCCCATCAAAATACCAACAACTTTCTTCATAGAGCTAGAAAATACCACCAAAAATTCATATGGAAGCACAAAAGCCACTGAATAACCAAAGCAATCCTGAGTAAAAAGAATAATACTGGAGGCCTCAGGATACCTGATTTCAAAATACACTGTAAAGCCACTGTCACAGAACATTATAGTACGGGCCTGAAAATAGACATGTAAAACAGTAGTATAGAATAGAGGATCCAGAAATAAAATTACACAGCTGTATTCATCTGATTCTTGACAAAAATATCAAAAGTATATATTGAAAAGAAAACAGTTTAACACATGGTGCTAGGAAAACTGGATACCCACCTGGAAAAGATTGATAGATTTCCATCTCTCAACCTTTATAAAACTCAACTTTAATGGATCAAAGACTTTAATATAAGACCTGAAACTTTGAGACTAGAGGGAATGACAGGTGAAATACTTCAAGATGTAGCTATGGACAACTGCTTCCTGCATAGGACTTGAGTAGTTCAAGAGATAATAGTGAGAACTGATAAATGAGATTGCATCAAATGGAAGAGCTTCTGCACAATAAAGGAAATGACAGAGTGAAGAGACATTCTACAGAATGGGAGAAGATCTTTGCCAGCTATTTTTCTGACAGAGGACTAATAGCCAGAATATATAAAGAACTCAAAATATTTAACATCAAAAGAACAAAGTAATCAGCAACTGGGCAAATGAACAGATGCTTCGCAAAAGAATGCCAGTGGTCAATGATTACATGAAAAAGTGTTCACCATCTTTAACATTAGGGAAATGCAAATCAAAACTATATTGAAAAACTGAAGGGATAGTCTGTAGTAGAGAGTGTACTGAGCATGTATAAGACCCTGAGTGTAATCGGTCTCCAACACCAAAAACAAAAACTAAACCACATCAAGATTCCATCTCAACATGGTCAGAAAAGCGACCATCAAGAATTCTACTGATAATAAATTCTACCGGCAATAATTCAAGGAGAAAACTCTTTTTACATTGCTAGTGGGGATGTAAATGATTTACAGAGAGTGTGGAAATCAGTATGTAAGTTCCTCCAAAAACTAAAAGTGGAGCTACCATGTAAC